TGAATCCTACTTTGGGAAAGAAAATCAGTCTGGCTTTGAAAAGGCTACAGAGCCCTAATCTACTAGGATTATTCTTTCATTTTTTCTTGGAAACTTCAGTTGCTGCAAAACACTGGCTTTTGGGGGGGTGGGGTGGGGTGTGTTGTTTTTCTTTTTTCTTTTTTTTTCTTCTTGTTTTTTAATCTGCTACACTCCACTTTGAATTATTTCTTGAGGGCAAGTCTTTAACAGCCTGGAATTGGTGTGTTTCAGACTCTCAACAGGTATCAGTAGATTTTGCTACAGGCTGTGGGTTTTCTTCATTTAAGACCAAAACGGATCTATGCTTCAATCTCGTATTGATGTAAAACTTTTGCATTACAAATCCTGATTTGCAGAAAATGACATAATCCCCCAAATCCATACCATTAGGAATGACTCAAGGAACGACTTAACTGGCCATCAGGTCACTGTGAGTTTCTCAGCTCCTGATGTTGGGTCAGGCCCTAACTCAATGAGATCTTTCTTAGCAGAGATATAACCATAGTGTTCAGCAGAGATCTTCTGTTCAGCTTGGATACCTTAAGCAGTCAGTCAACTTTCTATCATTGCAACTTGGTTTGGGCTTTAATGTTGTCTTGGTTCTCCTCATCCTTTATTTCGGGTTTCTGGTGTGTTCTAGTGCCCTTCATTTTCGACATGATTTCTCCTGTTACATAACTGTATTTGGGTGCCCAAAAAGTAGCTATACTTGCGCTTAAGTAAACCAAGGTAAAATTGCATTGGAATTGCACTAAGCTACAGCTTCCCACATGGTATATTACTAAACTACACACCAGTTTCAGTTCTGAAATGATCTGTAAAGGTTACCACAATAACAGCAGGATGCCATCTTATTTATTTTGCACATGGCTTTTAGAGTTCCCTATCTGAAAGTACATCAAGTCTCTGTGGAGCTCTAACATCAATGCCACATTCTATGAAGCAAGGAAAATATAATATTTTTACAGTAGGTCTTTAAATCATTTTCTGACAACAGATCAATCTTACAAGAAGCCTTGCTGGTGTTTTGAGTAAGGGAAGGAGAGATTTTGAGATTAAAGTATAATAATGGTATGCTGTCGCCATGAATTTGCCCTTTCGTGTATCAAACTATAGCATTCTGCTGCTGAGATCTAATTAAGCCCCACCAATCAGATTTATGATAGTGCTAATAGGAAAAAGGATTGTCTAATGCTGTTAATATGTGCTCTGTAATTAACATTAATGAGAGTTGCATGGTTAAATGCCCCTTGCATCACCCTGAAAACGTACTTCTAGGTGCAATGTTTATTTTGTAACTGCGGAGAAGTAGCAATACATGCAAAGCAATTGCCCGTCTTTGCAATTCGCAAAAAAGTTAAGAGGCGCCTCAGAAATCGCTCTGCCCCAAAACGATGATTGACCTTGAACTCTTGTGGCGAGCCAGGAGTCCTGCCACCCTTCAGGTAGTCCAGTGACTTTGCTATCTGGGTTTTTACCAACTGGATTGCAGGATCTGAGTGAGCAAGGTGCTGAGGGCTTCCTAAAAGTGCTCTATGTCCCTTTTAATAATCTGCCACAGCACTCAGTTGCTTTCTGGAGCGTTCGACATCTTACGGAGCCACGTTCTGCAGAATCGGCACTTTGCAGACAGACCTGCTAGGTAACAAGATCCAAAGCCTGTACAGCCATTTTAGGCTGAATTACTCTGACATTTGGATGTTTGTGTCCACTAAAAATTCAAAGATGTTTTCTTTTCTTCTCCAGGAGTAGCTCTAGCAGCATTCTGCATTCCTTAAATCATCATTATTGTATCGTAAGGAGGTATTTCTCTGTCTTGAGGCCTGTGGATAACATGCTCCTTAATTAGAAAAGTAGTGTTTTACCTCCCTGTCTACAGGGGTGCAATTTATTACACAAGGGAACGGCACTGAAAATCAGGCCTTAAATCTCAGCCCTGTCACAGAACACTTGGCTACTTCAGCCTTTTCCTCTGTGACCCCAACTGCCCTAAAACCAGCCAGCCATCCCATCCCTCTATGTAATCATTGTGTATTTGCTATGTGAGGCTTATTTTATTTTTGTAGGTGTAAATTTAACTTGAGAACAAATCTGTGGAAGTTATAAAAACCAGAGATGCAAACAGGAACTGCAACTTGATATATGCTGAGTGATGAGAACTCAGAGTAAAACAGGATATTAATTGTAAGAAATGTGAAGTCCTAATTTCTCCCCAGCTCCCCAAATAGAAAGAGTGTGGAAATAAATGCTTCAAAGTAGGATATTCTTGGTGAATTAGAGTGAGTGTGTTCATTTCATCTTCCTAGTAATGATTTAAGATGACTTTTGCATGAATTTAAGCACTATAAAGATATGAAAGCCTGGAAGGAAAACGGTTCCGAAAATCTCCACGTTAAAATATTTGGCAGGATTTTCAAAAGCATTCAAGTGACTTATAGCCTGTATCTCCTGAACTTAAAACTCTTAAGAGAAAACATTTTAAAGGTACCTAAGGGTGCAATTGCACTTTACAGCTTGAGCAGACCTAACCATTCTCCTCCCTTTTTGTTCAAACTATATTACAGGCTGCTTTTTCCATGCCTTACACCAGCTTTCAACTGCTCAGACCCTGGATGGGGTGAATTCAAGCAGTTAACCCAGCAACACAGACATTTTTCCCTTCAGGTTAGCGAGCTGCATCAGCTGAGGGAAGGCTCCAGCAAGCACCAGGACTCGTACCTGGAAAGGCTGAGACTGTACAGCTGGGACCCGCTTTGGGCAGCACCAGTCTCTTAGATCTGACCTCACTCAACATGAGGGTCAATCACTTGACCCACGTGGTTTTAGGGGAAAAAAAAAAAAAAAATCAAACCTCAATTTTCAGAAGTGACTGTAGCAGCTAAAAGATTTTTACTAAGCCTTGGGCTTTTCAACGCTCAGGTCATTTTGGGAATGAGACGTCGTGTCCGGGCTTAACAAAAGACGCTTGCTCGTCGCCGCGCTGCCGTCCAAGCAGCCCGGGTCCCCCCACCAGCTCCGCGGCCGCCA